AAAATATCAAATGTTGTGACTACTTATTACATGCATAAAATGTGTTGTGACTACTTGTTACATGCACTTAAGTTCATTGCGGTTAGGGAGATTAATCTGGGGATTTCGGTTCTTTGAGATTTCCCGAAAATATCAAGATAAGCGAATGTAGGTAATTCAGGATTCTATTCGTTATGGAGTTATGGAAGCTATAAGTGGTGAAGCGGAGAAGTACTTTTCATCTCAATACTATATATATATATATATATATATATATTATATATATATATGTATAAATATATGTATATATATTTATATATTTCTTTTTTATAAAGTATATCCTCCTCGGTCCTGAAGGCTTCCCACAAAAAAAAAATTCTTAAAATCTTTTAGCTATTGTTTATATGCATTCAAATAAAAAAAAAAAATTGATTACACGATTTTCTGTCGCACGGATATTGAGATATGGCAGGTGCAGCCAGCTGGACACTTGGAATATATAATGTAAAAAAATGTGGTCTTTTAAATTTTTTCTATTATTACAAAATAAAAAGTTTTATTTATGAATTAAGGAAACTTATGAACTTTATTAAGTTATTTACTTTAAAATTATAAATTTTATATCTAAATTAAACAAAAATTACGAATTTCATTAAATTATATTAATTATCATTAATAAATTATATTAAAATATACGAATTATACTTAAAACTACTTAAAACTAAGTTATGAATGAAACTCAAAAAAACATTACCTATCATTAGCTATACATAAAAAAACATTACACGAAGTGCATTTAAATCTAGTTTTTTGATGACAACCCTCTCTGCGACAGCGAATAAACTTATTTTTATCTGTAACACCGCATATTGGTAAATATCTGTTTTCAGTACGGCGGACATCCTCTGGTGGAAGTGGATTTGGTGTTTTGGTTTTTTTTCTAACCAATAAATCTTTATCACTTGAACTGCTCTCTGTGAACGCTTGATCATAAGTTCTTCTTTTGGATTCTGCACATGCAGCAAAGCATTCTCCAATATTCAGTTTGAATTCAAGCAAGTCCATGATCTCTTTTTTGCATACACCACACGCAAATTTGTCCTTCTTGTACATAACCCAGCAATTTGTTATTACCAGATCAACCATATGCCAAAATACTTTAACAGGCCACTTTTTTGTGCGAATAGCAATGCGATAATAGGAAATCAATCGAAGTCGCTATCTGCGTCATCTTCGAAAACAATAGCATCTTCATGCGCATTGTGATCTAACAATTCATTATCACTGTCATCTGAAGCGTTTTCAATATCACTCTCCAATAACAGCTCCAAAATTTTGTCTTCAGTGTATTCTTTTCTCATTGTCATTTTGTACCAAGTGTGCAGCCCGCTGGACACAATATGTTTTTCAGAAAATACCATAAAAATATAATTGCTAATTACTTACCTTTATATAAAGTTTAAAGAAAAAAAGATTTTAAACAAAATAAAACTATTAAATGTATCCAAAAAAAGGCAAATACTACAAAAAAACCGATTTTTTCTTGTACTTAACAATAACAGCAAATTCTCAACAACTTACCAACCACTTTTCACATTATTTTATGGTATTCCCAAAATTACAGGAAAAGGTGCACTAAAATAACAAACACGAAACTATTAGCGAGCTGTACAAATGAATATATAGTAGTAAAACCTTCACAAAACTTCAAAAAAGGCAGTAGAAAAGTGTCCAGCCGGCTGCACGCCAGGACCGAAGAGGATATTACAAAGTTTGATGTAGACTTGAATTATTGCCTTAAATGATTAGTACGAATATGTGAACATTCATAAAAAACTAAAGAAGTTTTCTATACGAGCACACGCTCTTGTAATTTATACATTTTTTTATTGCTATTAAATAATTCAAATATTTCAAATAGTTATATATCATTTTATTTTGAATTTCCCCAAAAAAGAAATAAATTCTCAATTTGGAATTTTAACACTCAAAATTTTCAGAAATAAAGTTATCATTATCATTACCGATTAGCATTACATATTTATCATTTGAATATTTATCATTGCCAATCAATATACCTGACACAGTCACTTTATGTGTTCTACGAAGATTAATCCCAAATTTCCAAACGCAAAGCGTTCGGCCGAATAAGGCCTAAATGCAATTCCATAAACACTTGATTGATTTAAATGAAATAAACTAGAGATGGCTTAGATTCAGAACTGTTGAAACGTAAATTTACTATTATATTCCGGAGACCAAAGCAAAAAATTGAAAAAGAGCATTTAGAAATGTAACCGAGTTTTGGGAAAGGTAAAAATTGTATTGAGATGGGAAGAAGCCTATCATGCTTTTTTCGATGATAGAGCATGTTGCCGATTGACTACCTCGGGATAAGCCACACAATAATTGTAATATACAATGAAATATTAATAGTAATATTAATCTAATATTATTGTTTTCATAAAGTACCTTTTGGTATTGTTGTGACATAATAAAAATGTGAATTTTTTTTTGGTTGTAGTTTATGCAGATCAGACACATAAAAATTTCCGGTATAATCCTCACATGTATCATTATTTCCTTCACATACGCCACATTTATCTACGAATGTAAAAAAATTTAATTAATTTTAAACGCGCAACCACACTTTTGACAAAATATGTTCGCAAGTGAACTAAGTAAACAAAGCACACTGATATAATAGATAAAAAGAAATAAGTTTCTCAAAATTATATTTACCTAGTTTGGCGAGCGAATTAAGTTCATTGTCGCAACCTGCTGGACGGCAAATGCCATTTACACACTTATCAAAACTGTCAAAGGAACATGTTGTTCCGTCTTTTACCTTATCAGAAAGTTGAAAGTATGCACTATTGTCTTCGAGACGGCAAAACAGTTTGCATTTATCCTTTAAAGAAACTAAATATAACCCACTAAATTATTAAACAAAACATAGGTGTTCAGTATAAGCTTACGCCCATATTTGGGTATCCATTTTGCTGGTGTTCTAACACCTTTGATACTCAAATCTCGTCCATTCATATCGTAACATTGCTGTTCTCGTGAGTCCATAGAACCGGGAGGACAACTTTGTGCATTACATGAGCGGTACTTTTTACGACTACCGGCGCAATACTTCCCCCCATTTCTGGGAAGTGGATTATTGCACTCACGTTGAGATTCTTGCACCCCCCCTCCACATGTTAAACTACATGGTGTAAATGAACTCCAATGACCCCATCCTCCATTAACAACTTGTAGCGTATTTCCCTCACGAGAAACGCATTCACCTTTTTGGCACCAATAACGATTGTTTCGGCAGGGAGTACCATCAGCCCATGGTAAATTACTTGAATAATAACTCCCTTTAAAGATGCACCACAATTGCTTGCATTCATCTCCTCTATTTGTAAATACATAGTCTCTGCCGTCTATTAACTGACATTGCTGATCCAATGAATATATCTCACCAGGTAATTTGGTGTTGTAATTTTTAATTGATACGGTACGTGTATCCTCTAAACATGATGTATCTTCTTTTCTTTTTGGTTGTGGTTATAAGCGTAGAATATAACATAACAATACCAAATAAAATGAACATAAAAATTATTTAATTAAGTAACTGTTTAGTATAATATTTGGCAAAGAAAGTTTAGACTTACTCTAGAAATTCTGATACATAATAACGTGAACAATCCGACCAGGACCAAGGGTGAATATCTTTACCCATCACACTTGACATAATATGCTTTCTTTTTGTTCCCAGCTTATTAAACATTTTGCAACGATCGTCATCATCATGCGGCATATTTAAACTGTAAAATGGATATTAAACATATTTTAGTTATCATGCATTAAGATTTTGTTACATATGATCGTACATATGACCTAGTTCATGTGCAATGGTAAAAGCAGCTGGTAATCCATTGTCCTGTACAATTGAGCAGGAGTGCCGCTTACAAACAGTACCCAACTCAGCTAAACCCAGGGTGTCACACATCGCTGCACGTTCATTGCGACATATCTGATTTCTGGCAATAGAAAAAATATAAAAAAGGAAACAGTGAGAAATTCTGTTGGGTCAATTCTAAATAAGAAAAACTTTACCGGGTTATTAGCATTGCTGTATCGTAATGATATTTGCCGTTTGAAAGGAAATGACAAAAGCTCTTTAGCAACGCAGAAGCAGAAGTAGCTAAAATTTGAAATAAACTCTTAAAATTAGAAGTTATTTGATAGCATATATTGTATAAATGTCATTTCGTAACTTGTTGAAGTCTTGCTATTCCAAATAAGAGTAAATTTTTTAAATAAATAAATATTTTTTATTTTTCATTTTTAAATATTTTCCATTTTGTTTATGCAATCTAGCACTCAAAGATGTACAGATCATATGAAAACTTCTAAATGTTGCATTTACAAGATTTATTTTATGTTCGCGTTTCTTTTAATTTTTTTCTTCTAAATGGTGGATTAACTATTCAACTGGTACTACCCAGTCATATACACTGAAAAACACTGAAAAACAGTGTATATGACATACATACATATATCATATACCCGTATTTATGATTAAAGCTTTCTTTTCCGTTTTCAGTCAAAATATTTGATTTTTCATTTAATAGGAAAAAGGAATATAAAAACTGTTAAAAATATAAAATAAGATAGGTTCTATATAATGTTGAGTTTATCAAGTGTTTAAAAAAGTAGAATATTGAAGTGTTTGATAAAATACATTATAAAAAACTGTTTACATGCTATGAAGCTAGTTGTTTTGAATTAATATAACATATAACTTTAATATAACATAATATATACATACAAATAATTGTAATAATTGTAATATTGAATATTCAACTTACTTTTCATTCTCATCAAATCATCTTGTATTATCAGAATCTTGGCAACTGATATGTAAATGGAATTA